ATATATATATATATATAAACAACCCCTGATCACAGCCACTCAACAACAACAATAATAAACAACCTCACAAATTAAAAAAGCTAATATGTTCAATTGAAAAAGCCCTAATTTATTCAATTGAACAAAAAACCCTAATTTTTAGAGAAACCCTAAACCCTCAACACACAGCCAATCAACAACAACAAAAATAAGCAAAATTAAAAAAACAATAATATGTTAAATTGAAAAGGCCCTAATTTGTTCAACTGAAGAAAAAACCCTATTTTTTAGGGAATCTCTCAATTGAAACCCTCAGCCAATCAACAACAACAAAAATAAAGAATCTATCATAAATGAAAGAACCCTAAATTGTTCAAATGAAAACCCTAAATTATTCTGTAAACTGAAAATCCTAATTTTTTAGATGTCCATATGAAATAACAAGCAATCGAAAAATTGAAAAAAAATATTTGACAAGGAAGACGAGACTTACTTACCGTATTCAGGTGGCAGTCCACATATAATCCTTCTCGCCATAGATTCAGATGGCTCGTCGGATTTTTCTCCAGATGCAACGTCAATATGCCCGTCGCGATTCTTTCTGAGACACCACACCAATTGATTGAAAATATGGTGAAGATTGTCGTCTCAACTGATGACTGTCACCTCAACAAATTTGAAGAAGAAAATCACAATTAGGGTTTTTTTCTTTACTGATTTGAGAATTGGGACTGAATGCACGATCGAATTGGATGGAATAGGCTCAATAGGTTTTTTGGAACATGGTAACCGGCTAAAGCCAGTTTCCGTTATTTGACTTACGGTCAACTGACGTTCGGGACCAAAATTGATTGATTTTTCATACTTACGTATTAATATTGATTAAGTCGAAAACACGGGTATCAAAAGCGAAAAGTAGGTATTTTTGGGGTACCAAAAGTGAAATTTTCCTTTTTTGTATTCTATTGGCAAATAGTGACAAAAATATTCCATTAGTAAACACCAACAAATTTACTATGAAATAGCAACAGACTCTTTCAATATTGTATTAGTTATGAAACTTTCCATTGTTAAATAGCAAAAGAATTATTCCGTTGGTAAATACCAACACAATAGCAATAATTTCTTAAAAAATTGTCTTAGCAACGTAAATTTTCATTGCTAAATAGCAACGGAATTATTTCGTTGGTAAATACCAATGGAATAGCAATGACCTCTTTCAAAATTGTCTTAATAATTGAAAGTTTTCATCTCTAAATAGCAACGAAATTATTTCGTCGGTAAATAACAACAGAATAGCAACAGACTCTTTCAATATTGTATTAGTAATAAAAAATTTCATTACGAAATAGCAACAGAATTATGGGAATAGCAACGCTCTTTCAAAATTGTCTTAGCAACAAAATTTCTGTTGTTAAATAGCACAAAATTATTCTGTTGGACAATACCAATGTAATAGACAAGACAATGGCTGTTCAATCGGTTAAAACCGAATCGAACCGACCGAAATTTCGGTTTACCTAACCTTCAAACTGAAAACCGAACCGAAAGTTATAATTCGGTTCAATTTTCAACCGAAAATTTATCGGTTGGATTGGTTCGGTTATCAGTTATTTAATAAGATAGAAAAATGACAAAAAAAAATTCAATTTCAGCAAATTACAGGCCTAATTTCAACAAATCTTAGTCCTATTTCAGCAAATCGCAACCTTAATTAACAAAAAAAAAAAAAAAATAATCAAAAAGTGAAAAACGAAATGGAGAACTTGATTAAGCCTTGACAGATGAAAAGAGATGATGACTGACGAACGGATGATGAGCAGATAACAAATTAACAATGGGATTTGGTTGGGCCTTGCTAGCGCTTGTGAATTGTTCCTATAGGTTTTGTTTTTTCTTTACATATAATGGGCCTCAAAAGTAAAAATATGGGCTTAAGTAATATGGATTGTATAATTTATATGTATTATATCAGTTTTCGGTTCCGTTTGGTTAACAGAATCCAAACCGAAAACTGAAGTTTTTAAAAAATGCAAATCGAAAAGCGAACCAAAATTTCGGTTTCGGTCGGTTAACCAAAATTTGTGCACCCTTAAAAACGACCTCTTGCAATACTGTCTCAGATTCGCACACTCTGAAATCCTAAGTGAAAATTTTTAAGCTTTTTTTTTTGGCTTGTATGACTTTTAATTTATTTTCAATCCAAAAGTAGTTAGGCTTGGAATATTCATAATATATTGGATATTTATGGTCCTTCTTAAAATATTAATTATGTTTTAATATTATTTTCCTACTGTAGGCGTGTGTTATAAGGTATAATTTTTTTCTCAATCTTTGTTTTTCTTCATACTTCTTTTAACGTTATAACAAATTTACTAACTTAATTATAAATATACTTAAAAGTTAATGAATTTTTTATTTATTAATAATTTTTATATAATATATCAAATTAATCATGTCTTGATGAGCTTCGATTTGACATCTATATTTTAAAAAATAAATATTTTATTTATCTTTATAATGAAATTATGTTACCTATTAATATCAATTCAAAATAATTAAATTATTAAACTAACTTAACTACAAATTGGTTATCTGATATAAATTAAAAAAAATATATAATATAAGATGGTAAATTGTGTAAGTGACAAAGTCATTTTAAATATAAATAATAATTATTTAAAAACTAAAGAAAATGTTGATTTTTAAATTTTAAATATAATTTTCATAGCAAGTATTTATGTAGTACACGAGTATTGTACTTGATATAGTCATACTTTCATAGACCGAACCAAGTGTTGGTAGCTCGACCAGAGAATAAGTCGAGCTAGTCATGTCGACTTAAGACGAATATTAAGAACTACAATAAGCCCGATGGCTAGTATATGCGACTCAGGAACCTCGATGTCGCAGTAATGAGATGACGACCTGGAAAGAGGATCTTTTCATGTAATCACTACACTAAGAGGCGAATAACTTGGAGATCTTAATAACGAGCAGAGAGATTGACTGGTTAGATGACGATCTAAGCAAAACAGCTCTGCTCACCTCGAGGTGGGCTTCTAGTCGACCTCCCTCATCTTGAGGTCTACTTTACTCGCCTCATAACTCGAGGCATGTGTCGAGGAAGGCCGCATCTCGACATCCAGCAGGCTTAAGAGATAAGGATAAATCTTATGGGGGATAAGATGGAATCTTAAGATGACTAGAATCTTACTAAGAAATGATTAGGGTATGGATAAGCATCAAAGATTCGGGCAGGCGGGCAGGCTGACCGCGGGCATCCAAGAAGAGCATTCTAGGCAGGTATTTTTCTTTTAAAAGGGGCCAAGGTATCACCAGATCACAACTATTCTACATACATTTTATACTGCTCTCATTCACAGAGTATCACCATCTCTTCCTCGTACCGGCTTAAGCATCGGACGCTCTTTGCCGAAAATCCCTCCGACGTTAAGTTATGCAGGTATTCATGGCTGTTCAGACGGATCGGAGTTCATTTATACCTGTTCGATCCAAATCTTGAAGAGGACCCATCAGTATTAATAACTTATAATACTTTATTTACATCTATACAAAATGCACACGGGAATGCTAGTTGTTAACAAAATAGATGATTAAATTATTATTACTATTATTTAGAGAGAACAAACTAGAAGAATGAATTATTATTACTATTACTAAGAGAGGAGATGCAAAAGTGGGACCAATTAGAAAAGGGTGAGTTGGAGATTAACTACACCAAAATAAGAGATTAATATATGGAATTTGAGAAACAAAAAGGAATAAAACTGAATCTTGTTTCATCTAAATTGACATTGATAATAATATAAACTCGTCAGGATAAAAATAATGTTGGATTGAGTAATTTTCTTATAAAATTATATGCTCCTTTATTCTCATTTGTGGCTCAGTATAAGAGCCGGACAAACTACTTCGGCCCATGAATTATCGTGGGGCTGCAGTAATTATTTGACAAATTACCTCAGCACTTGATTTTACCTTTTTACCGCACGAGTGACACAACCTGTGTGTCTTGATAGTTTCATCTTGTACAAAAGAACAGATATCTCAAACGACAAAGTCCGTAAAGATGGGCCTTACAATAAATAACAAAGTCATACTGTTTGTAATGGACACGAAAAATACATGAAGAAAATTATCTTCTCCAACAATTTTCTTACCTGCAGATCTACAAGCCAGCCACTTGAAAAGGAAAAAGCGGTCACAATGCAATTTCAAAGAAAGTGAATATTTTCTTTGAAACAAGGGACATGCAAGCGCGCGCGCACAGAGACGGGCAGACAAACGTGCACACAAGAGCGTACATGGAAAAAAAGAGTACATACTCCTATCAAGCAAACTATGATGATTAATGTGACCCGGAAAACACGAGGAAATATCACTGCAAGCAAAAGTAGACAACTGCGAAAGGCACATCAGTTTATCAGTCTCTTCTTCTCAGTAGAATATAAACTGAAAACACGGAAAAGTCCAACCCAGTTCCAGAAACTGAAAATGGTTGTCCCACAGTAGTTGAACTTGGACCACAGTAACTTGCAACTGAGTTCCAAGATGAAATGAATTCACTGAGTTTATAGTCAGAAGAGCAAGATTAGTAGCAACCCATAATTCATCATCGTTCCTACTGACCTTTTTCCAATTTCATCCTACCGAGAGACTTTGCACAGACCCAATCTAGACAGATAGGAAGATCGAGGCTTAGACTGATATTAGAAAACCTCCAGATACTGTCTACTTCACAAACTATACCTCCAAGAGACAGAGAGAGAAGTAGGAATAACTAAACACAACCCTCAAAAGGGCTGTTCATACATCCGAAAGAGAGCATGAAGTAACTTAACACAAGAGAACAAACTTTATCTTTTCTTTTATTGAGGTCAGACCCAAAAGAAAAAAGAACATTACTAGTCACAACACGACTAACACCACAATCAAAAACAGCATTCTGGACACTAAACTGTTACCGAGACCAAGACAGATATATATCACATACTTACTCAACATTCCAACAGAAAACCTTTACATGTCGACTTGTTGTGGCCCGTCCCCTTGCACTTACTGCACTGCAGCTGCCGCCTCCCAGCATCCTGTGAGCTCACTCTCTTGGTCGTCGGCCGGCCCGGCGGCCTCCTTGTCGGCGGTGGGTTCACCGTCACTGCCCCCTGACATCCGCCCGTCTCCCACGGCCCACCCGAACCCAGAATCGGGTGCACCACCTCCGAATACGTCAACCTGTAGCTCTCGGCTGTGAAGTACCTTGAGCAATAGTCGTACGGATCCCGCCCGAGACACCCAATCACGGCAATTGCGTGACAGCAAGGAATTCCCATAATCTGCCACATTTTGCACGTGCACTCACAGCTGTCGACGTCGACGCCTTCTATAGTATCTCCACGGACCTCGAACCTGTTACCGCCCGATATCAAGACCTGAAGAGTCCTGACCTTGAGACTTTCCCTCTCGAGTAACTCCTCCATGGATGGGGTCATCCGGCTGGTCCACCCTGTCGAGTCTGCCAGGCGGGCATACATGAGCTCACCCATCTTTCCACGGACGGTGTCGACCATCTGGGTTATGGGCAGCTCATGCGCATCCGCTACCCACCCGTAGAACAGCTCCCCAAAATCAGATGACATGTGGTTGTACCTCGCCCCCCGGAAGAATGCATTTGCCCAATGCACGGGTTCGCTCTGCATCACCCAGTTGTACGCGTCCAACGAGATGTTCTTTATGCTGTCTACGTACCTCTGGAACCCCTCGGGGGTG